TTAGTCGATTTATTTTGCCTTCTCCACTATGAGCCACAGCTTACTCTTTTGCTAAATGAAAACCAGATTTTGCTAGTAGAAATGGATTTTTGCTCTAAGTGAAATAACTGGCACTAAACATGGCATAAGCCACAGGAAAATCTGGTTTTACAATTTTTGTGTGTAGAGGAAAATGGCAGACACAAATGAAGCTTCATTGACGTCAATGTCTTTTAATGCAAAATTATCTCAGGGTATGTCTACACTAGCCCCCTGGTTCGAACTAGGGAGGCTAATGAGGGCGACCGAAATTGCAAATGAAGCACGGGATTTAAATATCCCGCGCTTCATTAGCATATTCCCGGGCGGTCGCCATTTTGGAAATTAACAAGCCTGGAGTAACTGCCTGCATCTACACGCGGCAGTGAAATAGGTGTTCGAAGTAAAGCCCTAACTTGAATTAGCTGTTGTTCCTCCTGGAATGAGATTTACCAGCTAATTCGAATTAAGGGCTTTACTTTGAACTCACGTTTCACTGCCGCGTGTAGTCGCAGGCAGTTACTCCGGCTAGTCAATTTCCAAAATGGCGGCCACCCGGGAACGTGCTAATGAAGCGCGGGATACTTAAATCCCATGCTTCATTTGCAATTTCGGTCACCCTCATTAGCCTCCCTAGTACGAACTAGGGGGCTAGTATAGACATACCCCCTCTGTATAAGATGATACTATACACTTTGCATGTGCCATGCAGTAGCTTGTAACATTATAAAATGAACCAACTAAAATTATTTGCTACTAGATTTACAAAATAGTAATTATATTGCATTAGAGAAAAAAACTGGGTAATTTATGAGTAGACGTGTCAGTAATTGGATAGTTTTTGAAATGAAATACTTCTGATTGTTTTTACAATTTGTGTGGAGACTGATGTCACACAATTCAGGAAAGACTCTCTAGCTTTGTCTACACTATGGCTTTTGCCAGACGAGGCAATGCAAGTTAAGTGCTGATTAGCATATTGTCACACTTCATTTGCATAATCTATTCCGAGCCATTTTTGCGCAAGGGGTTTTTGCGCAAAAACAAGCCGTATAGATATGTCCGTTTTGCGCAAAACCTCCTTTTTGCACAAGATTCTTATCTTCTGGCAAAAACTGATAGTGTAGACATAGCCTCTCTGCCTATCCCCAGTTAACTTCTGTCTCCTTGTAGTGACCAGTTGATAGGGAAAGGGGAGAGGTTATTTATTCTTTGCGGACAAATACTGTGAAATACAGTTCTTCCATTAGTGATTATACCTCTAATCTTTGTATTTTCATCCTTCACAATGATATAGCTCTGTTGGAAGGCTAAATCTCATCACAGAAAATGGGGTATGCATATACAGATAATTGATCAAGGACAATTTAGCAACACATATTGTTCATACAATCATTTTCCATTTCTTCTCTCTGTCTCACCTTTTCCACCTATGTTATAGGAAAGAAGCTTGCTGCATTCTAGAGGGTCATGACAATGGAGTATACATATGAAAAGATGTGTTATATTCCTTTACATGTGCTTATGCAGCCATTGGTCACAATATGATACTTGTGCAGCAGTAAATTTGTAAATGGCAGCAGCTGACCATATAATAGTGTAATGCTGTCTTTGTGTTATAAAAAGGGTGAACAGTTTTACCTTGAATCAAAAGATACTTTGATGTAAATGTGTTCACATCTTTATATCTGGTAAAGAAGCATTGTTGTTTTGCCCACATTGTATTGCTTGTCACCCTGTCTGTTTTCCAAAATATCTTCATCTTTTTTTTTTTTTTTTTTTTTTTTTTTAATATATCTATTCCATTTGCTACAGGCCTAGCAGACTTATTTGGTTGAAAATGAATTCTGCACCGTTTTGGAAGAACTTCTTAAATATCTTGTTTCAGTAATCTTTGTTATAGTTAAAATGAAATCCAGATTTCCATGATGATTAATGTTAAGATAGTCATTTTAAACCCCTAATTTTACTTTTCCTGAAGAATAAAAGAAGTGAGACAAAAATCAGTTGCCTTTTTTAATGGCAAAAATTCTTTGTGGCATCCCGGAGGATGTCTTGCATGTATATTCTTAATGGCTTTTATATTTTAAATATAATTAAATAACATTAGGTCCTTCAAAGCTCAAACATAATCTTGTTGGGAATCCAAATAGTGTTTTTGGATTATACTAAATATACACAATCAGAAAATGAACTGTAGCCAGGAACACTTGGCAAGGTTCAATGGATATGACATGACTACACTGCAATTAGACACCCATATCTGGCCTGTGCCAGCTCATTTGGGATCCTGGGGCTTGGGATAAAGAGCTGTTTAACTGTAGACAGTTAAGCTTGAGCTGCAACCTGGGTTCTGTGCCTCTCACTCCTTGCAGGGTCCTAGAGCCCACACTCCAGCCCAAGTGTGAATGTCTACACCTCAGTTACACAGCCCCAAACCCCACAAACCCGAGTCAGCTGGCATGGACCAGCTGTCAGTTTTTAATTGCAGTGTGGTTGAGGAAGAGGCATTATTTTAAGCCATTTTGCCGTTCACTAATCTTGGCCTGTTCTGGTCTCCTAATGCAGTTTAGATTGGCCCAGGGTAGGCTGCTGTAAGTTGCAGCACTTGCCAGTGCTTGTTAGAGCAGATAGCAACCTCAGCACATAGGGCCATTTCAGACAAATCCCTTCTATAACCATGCCCTTGCACCATCTTCACAAAGCTTCAGAGCTGCAATAGTGAGTCTGATAAGAATCCTTATCTAATTCTTCTATGATCAGTTATACTATGTTTAGTGCTACTATTCTGGGGGATTGGTGCAGCCCAGGGTCTGGACCACTGCATGCTATAAAACAGTTAACATTTAGAACAAACAATTTCCTTTCTGAAAGGTGAACTGGCAATATTCATGGAAGATACCATTTTGCTGTTGTCAGTCATACATAATACTTAATGCCAAAGCTGATTAACTGAACGTTCCTAAGACAGCAGTTATGAAACTGTAAAGTAACACTGTTAAAGTAGCTGAGTAGAATGGATTTATGTGACTTTATTTAGAAACCATTTATTTCTCATTGAAATTTCTTATATTCAGTGGCAAAGATGGGAAATCAAATTCCACCCAATGTCATGCAAGTTCTTTCTGTCAATGGAATTACAGTAGGGATGAATTTAGCCAAGTTGTGTTTATTTAAAACTTGGTAAAATGTAGCCAGTAGCAGTATGTTTAGAATATGTTTTGAGTGAACATTCCTGTATTTTCAGGCAGATGAACTACATGAACTAACAGTAGTTTCCCAAAGCCATTAATAACTTAATTATTCTATGGCTTTAGAATTCAGTAACGAGCTATGAAGTAACAGCAACATTTGTCAACTATATATGTTCTCTTTAATTCTGAGAAATGATATTTTGTCCACATCTCAGAGGTGTAACCATGTTAGTCTGTAACTTTAAAAACAAGTAGTCCTGTATCACCTTAGAGATTATATCTGTATCTATATCTACCACCTCAGACTGCCAGCACAACCCACCTCCGCTTCCTTAGTTCAATTTAATATTAATGGGCTTGATGCAGGGATCAGTGCCCCCTGCTCTCCAACCCCTCTCTCTCTGGGAGTAGGTGTCTGGCCAGGGATAAAGAGCAGGAGTGAACTGGGAGTGCAGGGGAGGGAGTTGGGCATGGATGGCAGAGGGAAGCCGGTGTGGCCCAGGGTAGGGCTCAGACTTGGACGGCGGAGGGGACCTGGCATGGCTTGGTGGGTTGCAGGTTGGGCTCCCCAATGCCATCCTAGCCCAACACCCACCCCAGTTTGTGCTTCCTCCTCCCCCCTGTCTAGACATCTACCCCCAGAGAGGCGGGGGGATGGGTGTTGGTGAGCTTATCTCTCATGCTCTCTGGCTGCAAAAGCCACCGTAGAGGAGGGGGTTATCTATATCTATCTATATATCTATCTATATATTTTTGTTAGTCTCTAAGGTGCTACAGGTCTACTCATTATTTTGTCCTTGTGTCATTGTTCTTAGCTCCATATCTGTCAAAATATTACTCTAACAGTAATTGTTTTATTACTGTCCTCCTGTGCACTGGCATAAAATATATAAAATATGTGTATTCTATAGTTAGAATTCTACTTTGTATTGTCAATAAGTTATTTAAAATTACTGAAAGGGCATTGCGAGTCTTGCTGTCTTGAAAGGTTTATCAGAACTGAACAAATCCAGATGTATGACTGTTTTGTTTGGTATCAAAACAAATATTTACTGTCATAATACTGGCATGTTTTCACGGCATGCTGTTTTCTGGGCTGTTAGCATGGAGTAATGCAGTGAGCATGCAAATTCCTGAAAAGAAATAAAAAATAATTAATTAAGCAATATTTTTAATTTAATAAGGACTGAGATTTGTACGTTTATATTAATCAACTGTTTAATCATAGTATTTAAATGCTTTGCTGCTGTGGAATTTTGTAAGTTCTCTCTCTGGTAATTTTCCCTTGGATCGCATTTTGATGCTTCTTCTGAACAGCAATATTGCTTGTTGAGAAGTGGTCATGCAAACAAAATCTGATAACCTGGATATGTCGGATTTGCTGGTTTGACGTTTGTTAATGCACACTAGGTTGCATAAGATCTAATTTTTCTTTTAGCTGACCAGATATTAAAAACAAAATCCATAATGGCACTCTAGTTTTTATAGTAACACAAGAGAGGAGGTGAAGGATGTGGCTTGCTCTGTTTGGATGATGCAGGATTGCTTTAAGCAGCAAGCTTACTGTTTTCAGACAGCATTCACAGCATCAGTGCTAAAGCTGTATCAGTCTCCTTGAATGCTGGATGCCTTTGCTAGCACAGAGGAAACTATATTTAAGATCTGATTTCTTGAGAGCAGTGACTTCAGCAATTATTGATGGACAAATTGGCTGTTGATGTTTTCGTCACTAGTCTACGAGATGCTGAGAGAAAGATGGCTAAGTGATGTTCTTTTATAAGATAGGAAATGCAGTCTTTGGGGGTTTCTGGAAATAGAAAGGTCATGCAGCTTGGAATCAGTGAGCCATTCCAATCTCTAAGTCATCAGGTATGACCTCATTATTCATACAGTACTATTTTCTAGTATAGCATTTGTTTTTCAGTTGTAGGCTATGTATTAGTTTCTGTTGTTATTTATTGTTGGATTTGCTACAGAGGATAGAGTGCTTACCTAATACATAAGCAAACCAAATAATTTTTGGAAATTTAAAATGCAGTTAATTGCCAGTGGTTTGGCATAACAATATTGATATATTTTAAATATAAATTTTAATATGTATATAATCCTTCCAGTTCAAACATAGTAAAAGAGGTGATAGCTTTAGATATGATGTAAAATGACAAAGAGCAAGAGGATTATACTGCATTTTATGGTGCATTATCTTTACAGAGCACCTTTGCATCTAATTATTAACTAATGTGGTACATCACTCTTATGAAAGCACATTGTAAATCCGTTGTTTTACCTACCATGGCAGGCTATTTGAAATAGTTGATGACATTGGATAACCGGTCTGAGTTATTCTGCACTAAGAGATCTTTTTTTTATGTTGCACTAGCAGGTTTTGGCTCTATTTCTGATCAATTTTAAGAATAGAAGTTAATTGAAAATGAAAGGAAAAGTTTGGCAAGCTACCTCTCACTTTTAATTATTCATGTTGATGACTAATAATTATAGCAATAACCTGAAAAATTGAGGTGATTAATACTTCAAATATTTAGAAATTTCCTAAAATGTAATTTAAATGTTCTTTAATATACTATAGCATTTTATTTTTAATCACTATCAACCTTATTGAAAGGGAGTTAATATGGAATTTATTAATGTGCTTGGAATCAGGTAATAAAACCCAACTAGATAAATGAAAGCAACTGGGACGGTACTTCATGTAAAATTTGTAATACAGCATTTGGAGCCAAATTTCGTTTTCTGGACACAAAATGAAATTGAAAATACTGTAAGCAGCTTAGCTGTGTTCCTTACAAATGGCAGATAAGAACCATAAAAGGAGTTTCAGGCATCCTGCATTCAGTTTAAGGAGATTATATCTGAAATTATGAGAAATGTTTATTTTTGCAAATTATTCTTTGCCCCATTTTATCAGATTCTACTTTTTTTTTCCCAGAAAATTTCCATGGAAACATATTAGGTTATATGTTTTAAAAACACAACTCAAGGTTGTACAATGCTTCCTGTTACCTTTTTTAACCCTCTACATTCAACAATTTTCACACATAATTGGAGACCAATTTGGCATAAACAGTAGGTATTTCCTGACCTCAATGTACAAGATTAAATGATCAAGGATTTAAAATGTTGTTTTATGTTTAAAAAAATATAAATATATAAAAACACAAAGGTTTTCATTATTCTTTTGGTATGGATTTTGCATTTAAAGGTATATTTCAATTTCCCCATAGTTTAATGACAGTCACTTGGGAATGTGTGCTAGAGAACACAA